ATCTCCAGGGAGAAGGAGTGGAGGTGGGCTCCCTCAGATCTCTTCTGGGGAAGACAGAACAACTCCATAAGTAGCAGCCACGGTTCTCTCCAAAGCAGAACTTCCTGGATGCCTGATAATGAATAGAAGGTCCCTATAGATGGTGGTCAGCAGACAGATGGGCTGTTTAATTGGGGGAGCTATGGGGTGCTGAACAGTCCTGAACTCTCCCTAATCATAGCCCTAAGCTGCAGGCAACCCAGTACCTGACTCCCTGTCTGCAGATTTCTCAGTGATAACTGACAAATCCTTTTATTTATCCCTGACCAAATTGGTCTCAGGGAGCTTGAGCACATTGTTGAGAGACTTTTGAGACACATGATGCCATAGTCTTTGAAGCATGGGGACATTCCAGTACCGACCCAGATCACTGGGCAAGATATCAAAACTCTGGCTCGTTGGTATTAAAGATCAAGAATTAAACACAATTAATACTGTCTTCCTGTGGTTCGCATAGTTTACCCATAATTACACCTTGCCAGCTTGTCTTTAATCCTAGACAAAATGCACACGACATGATAGCAGAACATGGCTGCAGAAGCAGGGGAAGGGAAGCGGCTTCCACACCAGGGTTCTAAATTGGTCTTCGACACTGTCTTGGGATTCTAATTTTAAGCTGTGAGAAAAGGACAAAGAATGTAAGTAGGTCCCGTGTCTAAATTATCGTTATGTCCCTGGCCCAGCACTTAGCTGCAAGCTCTGATCTTGGTAAACATGTAAATGGCATTGAATTGGATGACGAAAGGAGGTAAATTATTAGTCAGAGATGTCAGGCTGGGTGCTGGGAATGCAAAGAAGGATAAAATGCTTAATATCTTTGTCGCTGGAGTCGCTCTTGCCATTGGAGGAACTGTCCAAAGGAAGGCATAGATAGCGAGCTAAGGCAAAAGGATAGAAACGGGAGAACAGGCCAGTGGGGACACCCTAAGGGGTGGGCAGAGAGAAAGGAAGATGAGCCGAAGGGGTGCTTGCGGGACTCCGCCCTAAAGTCCCTGACTGAGACCACTTTGGGCTATTTTTCTAACACAGAAGCTAGAACCGTCTCTGAAAATAACATGCTGTCAGGCTGGGGAGTAAGTCTGGGGTAAATTACAAATTGGTACGCATAAACCTGGAATTATTTGACTTTTTTCTCCCAGTATTCTACCTGTAAGTGCCTAAGCAACAGCAACAAAAATCAAAAGAAAAAAAGAGAGAAAACAGCCTTCCCAGTGCCCTTTCCATGCTCAATAAATCAAGCTATTTTCAATATGCGTTTCTTTCCTCCTCGGAGTCACATATCATTTACAAGCTTCATTTTAATTCCTCATCTTGTATTGAGAGAAATGACTTGCATCGACTGGCAATAGAATCCAGGTATTTAGGGCTTCTCACCACTGTGATACTGGAATTGAGATACGTCTTGAGGTCCATATTTGTAAATCCTATTTCTGAGAAATCGCAATAAATAAAGTAGAAGATTGAAATTGAATTTTTGTAAGAGGACTTTAGGAGGAAAGCTATTATGCATCTATCCAATTCCGTGAGCTAGAATGTGCACTTAAGCTGAGAAAGGACAGCTCACTTTCTTCAACACGGCAAAGGGACAGGGTTACCTCTGGGAACCCTGATTTTCACCAGGATGAGCTTGGGGCAAGGATTCGAGGATTACCAGGTAGCCCTAAAAAACATGGAGGAGTAGCAAATGAAATGTTCTCTGAGCCAGACATCTGTGTTGTTTTGAACAGATTTTATCAGCAGACAAAAGGCTAAAATTTTCCTGCACTTGAGTCACCTGATGGGGTTATTTCTGTGCTGAACATTTCTCTGGTGTTAGCTTTGAATAGTGTCCAGTGGGCCCAAGTAGCTTCCACAGTGGCTTCAGGGAAAACACCTATCCTTCAGAAGGAAAGTCTGAGCGGCTGAGTGCCACTCCCTGAGCACGAGGCGGGGAGCACCCCAGTGCAGGCAGCAGGCTTGTGGGGCTGGTGCTTTTGCATCTTATACACAGGTCAGGCATTGCTCCTGGAGGGGCCCAGAGCCAAAGCGAAGTCTACCTCTGCTCGGGCTGGTGAGGCTGCAGGAGTCTCATGCCTGGAACTCTGATAATCCAGAATGTCCTGAGGATGTTCTCCCCAAGACCCCATCACATTGCTTGCTTGGTTCTGGGCTCTTTGACTGCTCTCCCTCAACTTTTTTTTTTTAAAGGGATAAGCCTTTTTCTCTTAATCCCTAACCTACTTGACAAAATGGAGGGCTGATAATGTTTTCTTCTCTCCTGAGAAATGTCAGTGAAATCTGTTACTTCAGGTACATGTGCATGAGAGTTGGAGAGAGCTTGCTGGAAATGATTGGAGACATTTCAGAGAACTTGTATTTCCCACTCTTCTTTCCGGTTGGCTGATCTGTCAACTCCTTTGACAGCTAACTCTGGGAACCAGTGATCTTGGCCAGGTTCTCATCCTGCCCTCAAAAGAACAGCGTGAAACTACTGCTGGAAAAATATAGACATTCAGGGAGACCATGACTACACGGTGACAAAAGGCTCATTCTGGATAGCAGCTTTTAGTTTGATGACATAATTTCCATAATCTTTAAGATTCTAATGAGTGAGAGAAGTATTCATCAAACAATATGAGCTGAATCAGTAAATCAAAAGTTGGGATTAAACTAGCCTACCCTTGCTAGAGCAATAATGGAAAAATCAGCCCTACCTGTTGGCATCCCTCTTCCAGGAATCAACTGTCCTGGAACAGAAGAGACGTGTCCTGCCTGATACTTCTTGGATCCTGAAGTTCTTTGATAGTCTCTTAGCCTCCAGAGGCCTGGAGCAATCTGGCCCAGTGAATGATGCCCATTTGCAGTGTCAAGAAACCTCAGAATCATTCTTGAGCTCTCTGCCCCACCAGGTCTAACCCATTACTAATTAATTTGCCTATTAAAATCCCTCAGATCTATTTACCCTCTTGTTTCTCTTCTGTTGCTCTCGCCAAAGCTACTGACTTTCTTCTGTTTTTTTTTTCCTCTTCCCCCTCTTCACTATCAGTCTGTTCCCTACACTCAGCCAGAGTGATCATTTCAAACTCAAATCCTTCAGTGACTACCTTATCACAGCCTCTAGCTGGGGAGAAACCTGCCTGTCCCTCCAGAAACCCACCCTGCCCTCCCACAGCTGCTTTCTGGCCCACTTTCAAAATTCCAGCCCCATGACTATTCTCTCAGTGCCTTGACTACTCATGTATCAGTTATTGGCTACTGTATAGACCAAATCAAATAACTTGAAATAGTGACTTGCACTAGTCTAGAGTTTGGTCATTTGGGCTGAAGCGAACATAGAGTGTCTCTGCCCTCTGTGCATTGACTGGGCTCTTTCATGTGCTGGCAGTCAAGTCAGCTGGCTAAGGGGTACCTGGGCCTATGTCACCTTGTTCATGTGCCACTTGGGGCAATGGAATGGCTGGGCCTCCCTGCTCCATGGTCTTTCATTCTCAGTTTCTTCATAGCATGAAGGCTCAGAAGTACAAGAGGGAGAAGGTGGAAGACCTACCTTGACAGTGCAAGTCAACTCTTGTACTGCATTTTGTTAATCAGTGCAAGTCCTTACTAACCTAGATCCAAGAAGAAGAAAAATAGATCCAGCCTTTTAATGGGGACTCTGTGGGACTCTGATTTTGCATATTGACCACAACTGGAAATTCAGCCCCCTTGTTTTAGTCTGTAACGTCCTGCACTCATATTCCCCATAGTGCAGTTAGTGGGTCAGGAGAGGTCTGCCATGCCATGTGGGTCAGCTCCCTGGCCGGGGATCGAACTCGTGCTGCAGTGGCTTTAGAGAGCTTCATAATGCAGTGCTTTATGAAGCACCCACCAGGGAGAGCCCAGATCATCTTCTTTTTATGAGTCTTGTAGCTCAGTGTCTTCTTTGAAGAAATAAGCAAGGTGAGGAATCTTGGTCATGGGAAGACTCCCCCATTAATATAATTTTCCTGTGGCATAACCAGAGTTGGGGATAGAAACACACTCATAAATTTTGCCACCAAAAGTGAAAAAGGGTCAGGTAATAGAATGCTTGGGGTGACAAGACTGGTACAGGCATGCCAGCACTCCCACTTACATGGGGGGCATGAGCCCTCCAGAGGACAGCTTCACTAGGTGCCTGAAGCCTCTCTGTGCTTTCTTCCTCTCCTCACCAATATCAGGAAATTCACAAATTCACCTTTGTTGACGATCATACGATCATAAATGTTTCATGTTCCCTTGTGGGCCTCAGAAGTTAGATGGGCTTGCTACCCCCCCCCCCCAGAGTATTTAGATCCTGGAGTGTGGCCATATGATTGCCAAGGATGGCAACTGTCATTTCCTTGGACTCAAGCAGCCCTCCAAGGCAACCATCATTTCAGTCTTCGAAGCGAATACTTCATTAATGATAAGTTACACCTGCACAAGATGACATGAGGTGGGTGCTTCCAGAAGGTTGAGCATTTGTCTCTTAGGACTCCAAAATAGAGCATATAAGCAAGGCAAAACTGTATCGTTGTACACTTCATGTCAATTTGAATAACAAATGGTCTTGGCTTTTAGTTTGAATTTTCTATTCTAGATTTGCAGGGCATAGTTTCAACCAGGTGAAAGAGAAAACTGTCATGGACGTCAGTTGTGCTGTATTGAAGAAAGCCTAAGAAACCCACGGGTCACCAGGGTCACCTTAGATTATGAGTCTGACTTATGAAGAGCTAGATTTTAATATCCTGAGATACTGCATCTTTTTAAAAGTCTGCAAGTCTTTTTCTATCAGTGTGAGTCAGGTTAGGTTAGGCTCTGCCACAGTAACAAGTCAACACTGACATCTCAGAGTCAGTATATATCACAATGCATTTCTCACTCATGTGTAGGCTCCTGCACCACTATTTTGGGGACTGGCATGAGGGGAAGCAGTCTTTGGGCATGTCTCCAACAGGCTACTGAAATCCGTGCCCCTCTAGGTCTGGCTCTGTGGGGGCAGCATGGAGGTCCTGCCTTGCTCACGTGTGGCCCACATTGAGCGGAAGAAGAAACCCTACAATAGCAATATTGGCTTCTACACCAAGAGGAATGCTCTCCGGGTTGCTGAAGTCTGGATGGACGACTACAAGTCTCATGTGTACATAGCATGGAACCTGCCACTAGAGGTAGGTCCCATGGGCAATTCCCCATCACTGTAGAACAGGCCTGGGACGACAGGCCACAGATCCCTTTAACATGCTGATGTTTCTTTGCCAGAAAGATACTTACACTTATAAAATTATTAATGCACTTTGAAGGAGTTCACAGGCCTCCAGGTGTTAGATATATTGCATCTGGCACACCAGAAATCTCTAAACCCATTTACAAAGATTAGACAGGTCTTACTGTGTTAATCCCAGTCTAATTCTCTTAATCCTGGTGCCCTGGCTCTTGAACATACATTATGTCCAGAAGGATCTTATCCAGAGTTTTTGGCACCAGGCTGTCCTCTGCTCTCACTATATGCCCTCCTGTGTGCTCCAGCTGCCTCCTGACTTATGCCACAGTGGTGTACTGAATACCTTGTTTATATGGCTCTTTGACTCTTTCCCACTTTCTGCCCAGAATATAGTCTAGGAGAAATCCTGTTTCAGCAGCCCCATGGAGTGTGATGGCACAGTGGTTGGGCATTAGCATGTTTGGAGTCCCAGCCCTGCCCTTACCAGTTATGTGATCTTGAACAAATCTACATCTTGCCTCTGTACCTTAGGTCCCTCAGCTATAAAATGGGATAATAGCAAGTGTTCCTTCTTTAGTAAGAACTAAATCTAAAGTACTAAGTCTAGAAGCATGTGATGGACCAAGAGCAGGGCCTGGCACCTGATGGATCTTGGGAATATTAGTGAGCCTATTTGTCTTCCATAGACAGCAGGGTCACATGCCCCCTCAGCCATGTGGGGCTTAGCTCTTCAGTCAGAACACCTGTGAGTGTCCAAGCCAGGCCTCAAGAACTACTTAGATTGGCTCCCACTGAGAAATGGCACCCCCTTTGTGTTAGGAGTCTGGGGCCCAGAACAGCACAACTGCACCTGAATATGTATGTGCAAGATGAATGGATGGAGAAGAAAAGGAATGTGTATCATAGTTTCTACACTTATGAAATATCTTTCTAAAACACTGAAAACCCCTATGGCCGTGTAGTACTTTGTAGCTGTTAAACTGTAAGTGCTTTGATACATTATTATGATGTAAAATAGGAAACTTTTTGAGCCCTTAATATATATCAAGCTCTCACTTCATTCTTTATTTGCCCCATCTTATTTAAGCTTATAATGATATTCTAATGAATAATTCCCTCTGCTTTTACAGACATAGAAAGTCTCTGCCTTGGCTTCCCCATCTACGGAACAGGGACTGTTATCACTTGTGTCACAGGGTTCCTGTGCAGATAACAGTAAGACTTAGAACAGAGCCTGGTACATACATATTAGATGCACAATAAACACTAGCTTGATATGAACCTATTATGACAGTTTCACTGATGAATAAACCAAAGTGCTGGAAGTTTAAACGTGACTTGCTTAGGATCCTACACCTACACATGGCAAGGCAGAGAGGTGAACTCATGTTTTCATTTGACAGTCCCACAGGTCTGTGGTAAAGTCAGTGCAGTAGGTATCACTACCTTCCCTCTTTCCAGGTGAGGAGTTCTAACCTGAAGTGCAGCATGACTTACTCAGAGTCCTAAGAACTGAAGGCTGCTGACTGTCCAGTACTTTTGCTATCACTATAAACAAACTTTGGGCCCAGTGTCAGCAGTATGCTTCCACACTTTTCAAAAATGACCATTTTCATTAATCACACTAAGTATATTAAAAGAGTTAATTATTGCTGCCCAGGTTTGATATTTAAAGATATTTTCCGTTAAAAATCATTGCTTTTCTGCTGAAGAAATCTAATGCAACAACTTGAACTCTTCTCCCCAGCTCCTTAGGCACCACCTGGCTCTCTGTCATGGACACAGCCTCCCATCCCCACTAGTTGGCGGCCATCTTGTGGCTGCGTCTGAGGAATCATATTTCAGCTACTTTATTCTCCCCTGTCAGCACACAGCAGCCCATTATAGGTTCATTTCTGTAAAAGCAGAGTGAATTATTCATTAGAACATCATTACAAGCTTTGCAATGGAAAATTATTTTCACTTCTGCATATAATGAACTTCAAAAAGAGCCAACAAAGGGGGAAATTACACATGTATAGAAAAGAAAGACAGGTGGTGGTTATAGGCATTTATTTTCTTGTCTTAATCAAATAATTCCTCTAATAATTGACTCTTATCGTCACTGAAGACTTGTGGGAGAGATGAAGCTGGGAGCGTAAGGTGTCAATGTCATTGTGTACCAGGTTCTCTATCACAAGGTGATGATGAGGACACCGCCTTGTCTGGGGGCTGTGTGCTGCACTTGGGGGACAGCAGAGTCTACTTTGGGGCTGGCTGATCAAGTAGGTCCCCTGGAGCCACCCATCTGAGCTAGCACACAGGGTTCTCTGAAGGCTCTCCCCAGGTGATGTCACCTGTCCTCTGTGGTCAAAGCTATCCAGTCACTAACGCCATTTGCTTCTCTCTCTACCTCCAGAATCCAGGAATTGACATAGGTGATGTCTCTGAAAGAAGAGCATTAAGGAAAAGTCTAAAGTGTAAGAATTTCCAGTGGTACCTGGACCACGTTTACCCAGAAATGAGAAGATACAACAACACCATTGCATACGGGGAGGTAATTAAGACCAAGGGTGCTTCTCATGTTGTATGATTTGCTGGGAGAAAATTGGGAAGACTTGTCTGTTGGTTCATTCATTCATTCATTCATTCATTCATTTATTCATTGAGTGGAGTGCCTTTTAGAGGTACAGGTCCTCACAGCAAGGCCCTCTCCAACAGGTGTTTTTGGAGGGAGAGATGTAATCAATGTTACAAAGGTGGTGATGACCTGTTCTCCTGGGGGTGTAAATGAAAGATGAATTCTGTTTGGGGCATTTTGATTTTTGAGGTCCTCTGGAGCTTCTAAGTGGGACATTGAGCAAGAAGTTTGTTATAAAGAGAGGTAAAGAGGCGCTCTCCTTGATTCAGAATGTGGGTCAATTTGGAGCTATTTGTCCTCAAAGAAAAGGCAGAGATATTCTTCTCAGATTTTCTGTGATGAGCTATGCTTTCTAAACATACAAGCAGATTGATTTTCTCTTAGGAAAATTTGGCAAATAATGCTAATGGCAATAAACACTGAGCGCTTTTCATGCCAGGCAGCATCCTAAGTGCTTTTCAAAAATGAATTCACTTCACCCTCACCCTTAGTGGTATTGTTTCCATGTTGCTAGTAAGATTGTAGAGACTCAGAGAAATTAAATAATTACCTAAGGTCTCACAGTCATGAAGCCAGGATTGGATATGGGCATTCTGATCCCATAGTTAATGTTGTAATGTTGTAATGTTGTTTTAACATATGGCCTTCTGTGGGAGTCTGTATACACAAACAAACATAAATACTGTTTACTCAAGATATGTATTTCTAGATATATAGTTATACACCCACATCTTTAGATATACTTGTTTAACAAAACCATGCTGTCTACAATGTCCACGAATTTGAAATGTTACTCAATAATGTGCGTAGTCTTTTCTTATGTCATTAAATATTTTTCTGCAACATTAATCATGGATACATGTGATCATCCCAACTATTGTTGGGATCCCAAAATGTACATCTCAGATTGTCTAGGCTGTATATAGGCATAAAAATTATGTTGTTTTCATTTTTTAAATATCACAAGCACCGCTGCTGGGCACGTAGTTACTATAAGCCCTTGCCTGCCTACCTTGTTACATTTTGTGTGCTCAGCAAAGGAAGCGGCGGCATGGAGTTAGGCCAGAGTGCCGCAGCAGGGTGCTCTGGACTGGTGGAGGTGCCCGGCTTGCTCTGGCATTTAAGTTTCTTCCCTGGAGTGTCTGACACCAATCTGTAACAACCAATCAGGAGCCAAGAAACTCTCTTTTACTTTGAGTGTTTACTTTTTCTACAACTGTGAATTTTCCTTTTTATGCCTACTGCCATCTATCGATAATAAATCAGCCCCAGTAATTCAACCCCCCTAAGCTGGAATCCAGGCTGGGAAGCATGTGACTTGCAGGGAGAGTGCATTTAGTGTCAGGACACACAAAGGCTCTAGGGCCAGCCGACTCAGTCAAATCCTAGTGAAACATCTCAACTGTCATTCCCTCATCTGTAAAATGGAGGAATGACAGCACCTCTTCCGTGGGGAGGGAGGGTTCTTAGATCAGTACCTGGCAGGAGCAGCAATTCCTAGGTCCAAACTGCTTTGCCTTTTCTTCATATTTTAGCATGCTTTTATTAGGGGGGTGGGGGTATGGGGGTATCAATATAAGATCAAATATAAAGGAGACATGGAAAAAATGCTAGATAGTGAGCAGGCTTTTCATGAAAAAACTGGTTTAATTGTTTAGCTCTTTGGGAAAGAAAACAATTCAGATTCGCATGGCTCACTATATCCCAAAGTGTACATCTCAGATGCGATGTAGTATTAAATGAAAGAAAAAACCTTAATAGGGCCATACAGAGCAAATAAGAATCTGGCCTCTGAAAGGGGAAGGACTTTCTAAGAATGAAAGCTATGAATGAAAAGGCGAGAATAAAAGCTAATCAATCTGAGTTCATGAATATTAAAATATCTATACATCAACTCAAGAGAGAGATAATATGCCAAACTGAAAAATGTGTGCCATAAAAACTATAGATGAACAGATACACCATTAATTTATAATGAGCTCTGAAAATTTATTTAAACAAAAAAATTTATTTAAATAGCAAAATACTCCAAAAGAAAAGCAAAGAGAAAAATGCAAATCATTGAAAAAACATTAAACAACTTAATTTATTTTATGATCAAAGAAATTAAAATAAAATTTAAAATACATCAAGGTAGCTTTTTGTCTCTTATCTTTGAACAAAGACGCATATTTGGAATATAGGTTTGTACTTTGCTGGCAAGTTCTTAATAACATGAAAAACCACATGTCCTCTGGTGAGAGTGTAAATTGAAACAAGCTTTTTCAAAAGCAATTTGAAGGACATGTATTAAAAGGCTTAATGATAGTCATACTTTCATCTCCAGTCTTACCCATGCAAATAATCTGAAATGAGGACAGAGATTTAAGAGTAAAATTGTTTATCACAGTGATTTTTAGAGCAAAAATTCTGAATTTAACTTGAAGCCTAAATAAATTGATATAGTTATGGTTTGAAATATTTTGAAAACATTTCAAAATGTGTCTACAAAAGTTTACTGATATGAGAATATTGCCAGTATAGTACTTAAAATAAAAAAGTTAGAATTATAAAATTGGATTGACTGCTATTTCTAGTGAAAGGGTAGTATGGAGAAATGGTGAAGATTGTTACCTCTGGTGGCAGAACAGGTGGCGTTGGGGGGCACTTTGTCATGTTTTCCTAGTTACTACTAAGGTTCATGTGATAATCTTATAATTAGAAGAAAAATAGCTATTAAAAAGAGTTAAAGGGCCCTCCCTGGTAGCGCAGCAAGTTAAAGCAGGTTAAAGCTAGCCAGAGCCGCTCTAGCATGAGTTCAATCCCCAGCCAGAGAGGTGACCCACATGGCGTGGCAGACCTCTTCTGTCTCATCCGCTGCTGCCCTCAGCAGTACACTTTGCCCATCTGCCTATTCTGCTCCCCACTCTGTCTCTGGTGAATCTGTTCACCACCTCTGCACCTCCAGCCTGCCTGTACCCCAGTTCTGTGCGCATATATAAATAAATCTTTGAAAAATAATGATAGATAGGTAGATAGACAGACAGACAGACAGACAGACAGACAGACAGACAGACAGACAGACAGACAGACAGACAGACAGACAGACAGACAGACAGATAGATAGATAG